GGGTGGATCATCCCCTCCCCAGCGCAGGCTCCTTGGGGTGCACCGTCAGGAAAGCCCGGGATAACGATTACCCAAATTGCCCCAGCCTGCACCCCCAGCAGCCCGGTTCTGCAATGGATTCCACCTGGGGTCCCGGCACCGCTTCCATCCATCGCCATCCGGTGCGGCGCACTGGGCAATGCTGGGTGCATCTCCCCCCGGCGCTGTCCAACCCTTGGATGGGGATGGGGACAGTGTCCCCCCCCATGGCCTCAAGCCCCAGCCCAAGGGCTGGCTCCATTCCCAGCGCCTGCTCCGTTGGCTGAACCGAACAACCCACCTTCGACAGAAGCAGGCACACCAAAATTATACAAAAAGCTCTTGTGGGAACTTGCCAGTGTCCTTGTTTCCCTCATGCTGCAGGCCCTGTGGGTGGGAATCACTCTTGCTTTAGGAAAAAAAAAAACCTGACATATGGTTTCTGGCCCATTTTGACCTCAAAAAGTACAAGCAAGAAGATCTGTGTTTTGGCAAAGGATAGCAGGAAAGTGTCCAAGCACAAAGCAGCTCCAGCCATGTGGGGACCAGCCAGCAGCATCCCCAGCGAACGGTGGCCAGGGCTGATCCCAGCTCAGGGAAAAGCCTCTGGATCTCCCCTGTCCTCCGCTGAAGAGGAGGGTCCTCTATCAGAGGGGGATCGCAGGGTGAGACCCAGGAACAGCTACAAGGTGTTTGGGTGTACCACAGTGCTGTGCCTGGCTAAAGATATTTGCACGTTGGCAATGCGGTTTCACATGATTCCCCAAATTTAGCAAGGGCTGCACAGCACAGTATGATGAAAGCTGAAGTACTTTAAGCCACTGGTACAGTCAGGGAAACAAACATTAGTCTTCCTGCTCCAGATTTAGTTCTTTATTGATTTTCCAGCTGCATCCAGCAGTTGCTGTCCCAGTGCTCACATTACCTATTAAAGACATCATAGAAACAAGAGGAAAACAAGACAGCGTTGTGTTTTTGATAAAAACTGTTAAACATCCCAAACAACAATTTCTGGAAGGAAAATTTGACCTTCTTAGGGTGGGGACCCGGTTATATTTATTCTTGAACAGCTCAGAGCCACCGAGGCCTCCTGGCTGCTTGCGGTCCAGGGCACGGCCACCTCCCCGGCTGCCGCTGCCCTCGCTCCCTGCTCCGCTGGCAGAGCCATGACCTGCAGGAGGGACTCGGGGTTCCTCCATTTCGGCTTGTGACCTGCGTCAGATTCAAAGATAACACATAAAACCAGTTTCAAAATCCCCGTGACTGCACTGGAGTGGACATGATGTCCCCTGTCTGTTCATGCTGCTGCTTCCCCTCGCCTACAGGTAACCCCCCCATTGGTGACTGCAGCTGGGTCACATCCTGCAGGTCTGTCCCAGGTACCTGCCCTGCCTGTTCAAGGTGTCCCTGGGACGGGAGAGCTGTCCCTTGTGCTCGCATCCGACTCCTCCCCACAGTTGCAGCATGGAGGGACCCCGAGGGTCTGGCCATTAGAGAGGCTGTTGACACCCCATCTACATGGAAATGTCCCCACCTGGGGGTTTTGCTCCGTGAATAAAATCTATGACCCCCCAACTTGTAAAGAGACTCCAACCCAAAAAAACGCCCTTGGGGTGCAGCGGGGGGATCTCCCTAGGCTCCCCCCCCACCCAAAGGTGTCCCCGGAGGAGAGGGCTGCCGCTCGCTGTGCCCAGCTCCGGGCGGCTTTGCTGACTCAGCGGCGCACGCCCTGTGTAAACGCCCGCCAGCTGCTGCCCCGGCCGCTGTTTGCTCAGGCTGCATCGCTCTGTTTGCCTTTCGGGGGATCACGATGGAGGGAGATGGGCTTTCGGCCGCCGGCAAATGGGGCAAGGCAGCTCCAGGCACCTGCCCCAAGGATCCTCCAGCATCTCCGCTCCTCCAGCCCCTGCCCGGGCCGGTGCAGGCTGCCCAGTGGC